CTCCTCGAAAGGATCACAGATGTGGAGCTAGAAGGGGGCCTCAGAGACCTCATCCAAGCTCTCCATTTTGTAGATGAGGAAGCAAAGGTCCAGGGAAGGTAAATGATTTGCCCAAGGTCATACAGCTAGCATAAGAGGCAGAATTTGAACCCAAGTCTTCTGAGTCCAGACCTAGTACTCTTCCCATTGCACCACACCAGTTCCCCCTGTATTATGTGCTTCATCTTCTGTCTACAAAATGCTTATTGGGCCTAGTGGTAGGAGCTACCCCAGTGGCGGCTCCAGTACTCCTGCAGGCTAAGAGTCTGGGGTTCCCTTATTTTTCCTATGTTTGTAGACTGAGGGTCCTCTTGCTTTTCTACTTACTGCTGTTCTATGCTCCCACACCTGGGCCTTCTCCTTCTTCCTGTCACCTAGCCAGTCATTGATCTCAACCGGGAGATTTATTAATCCAGTTCCTCTTTTCCCATTTGTCCACATATGAATCACTACAAATCAGGAGTGGTTTTAAGTTTTATAAGACCCAGGAGTTTCTCCAGTCCTGTCTTGGAAACATATACCAGGAAGACAGCAGACCTCTCCATTCTTCATGACAGATCCACACGTGACTCCTATTCCTCAATATCCCTGCACCAAGTCCATTGTCTGTTCTTCCTCTGAGAATTATTGATTGACCTCTCTCATTGGCAAGTCACCTAACCTCTCTATGACTCAGTTTTCTCATCTGTAAAATGGGAACAATTCCTGTAGCACCTACCTCAAAGAGCTCAAAATAATTTAACATATGTAAAGTGTTTTTAGAAACTTTAAGAGTTATATAAATGTCAGTGGCACTTAATAGTTGGCGGTGGCAGTTGAGCGGTGAAAACGTTGGTGGTGATAATGATGGTGGCATGGGTTATCATCCTTCGTATTTGAATTTCCATCTCCTACCACTGTGCCTCTGCATAAGTGGTCCTCCATGTCTGGAACCCACTCCTTCCTCACATCTACCTCTTAGAATCCCTGCCTTACTTTGGGCACAACTCCCATATACCCTGTCATAATTTCTAACCCCAACCTATTTGAACCCACACTACTCTACAGAGGCCAAGATAGCTCCTAGTTATTGAAATATATTATATAAGGTCATCTAGAGAGAACTATCTTAAATAAAAATGGAACCATCCAGATGGTGATCTAAGAGGGTAAATAGAATGCCCTGTTGTACTGAACCAGAGTTCACAAAGTGATCAAATCCAAAGGTCTAGGTAGGAGTTGTGAAAGAGCCCATATCTAGTGACTTACATGGTGGGTGGGGAGGGAGTGGGAATCAGTCAACTGAAGAAAGTCAGGGGAGGAATAGCAGGCAGTAGGTGAAAGGGTAGTTGTCTTGTGAAACTTGTTCACAAAAAAAGGGATTCTTCCCCTTCTCTGCTTTGCTCTCTAATAGGATCCTACTTGGGTTTGTGCAACAGGCATAATGATAGCTAGCATTTATATATAGTGCTTTCAGCAGTTTGAGATATTTGTAAAGTATTTGATCCTCACAAAAACCCTGGGAAGTAGGTGCTGTGATTATTCCCACTTTACAGTTGAGGAAAGTGAGGCAGATGGAGGTTAAATGACATGCCCAGGGTTACACAGCTAATAAGTGTCTGAGGTTTGATTTGAACTCAGGTCATCCTGACTTCAGGTCCAGTGCTATGTACATGGTGCCACATAGGCTTGTTTTCTTCGAAACTGGGGCTTGGGGGTGAGCTGGAGGAGCAAGCTGACTCCATCTAAGGCAGAAAGGTAGAGTCATTTTTAAAAAATAGGGAAATAGAGGTCAAGAATCTAGACACAACAGATCTCACTGTTAGCCATCAGGGTCATTGGGGTAGAAGGAGGACCTAAGGCTGATTGGGTCTCCAGGGAAGCAACGAAGCAAAGAACATATTAGATGATTAAGAATAAGACTTTGGCAAGATGAGGTGGTGAAGATACAGGAAAAGACTGATTCAGGGTTTATGGCAGGGCCTGCTAAACTCTGACCTCCCAGAATGCCCAGTTGGTGGCTGCTGTGACCCTTCTTATAATGTATTTTAGAATATATTTCTTATTCAGGATTTTTGTAACTATAAGAGCCATCCTTCTTTTATGAATATAAATGAGTGGTGTTGCTTACAAGAAAATGTAGATTTGCAAAATACACTTATATATAATTATATTGAAGGTAAGATCTTTTGCTCCTAATATTAGCTTTTTTTTGTATTGAGTTCCTCCTCTAACCCTCTTTTTGACTAAACTAGCATTTATATGTGTAATCCTCCAAAAAACCTGTTATTCCTTTTTCAAAAAGGGCCTTTGTTCTCTAATCTAAGAAGACATTCATCTAACGATGGCCAAGTAACTTTGGGTGAAGAGAATTCCCTTGGTATACTTTTGCTCATACCAGTCATTTACTATTTTGTATACCTATGCGGCTTTATTTTGAAATGATCGATTGATCCTGTATCATTTTTTATTGATCCTATTTACAAGTAATTGATATTGTCCTATTACTGCCTAAGTCAGGATTCTTTGTCTTTGAACTTAGTTCAGAATTCAGCTGGCCTGTAATGGGTTAACTTTAGAAATCCAGTTCTCTTGCTAATCACTGGTCTGGTCTTGCCTCAAAGAATTGAACTCACCTTGGGGGATGTGGCTTGCCATAAGGGAGTCGGGTCCAATATCTTTATACCACCAAACTATCCTTCAATGATGTCTGGTTTGCTGTCTAAAAGATTTGGTCCATTATCTCTAGACCTTGCAAATGGACTCAAAAGATGAACACTTCTTAGGCACTGGGGTTTGGAGGGAATCATTGCTAGCCCCTCACTACCAAACTTTTAGTCAATCGTGTTGTTCCTCTTACCTCAGCTATGTGACTGATCATGTTGTCCTTGACCCCATGATGTCACCTACCCTGTACTATTCTTTGTTCTATGCTTATAAAAGTGAGCTGCATCTGCAGTTCTGGATCTGGCATAAATCGAGGCAACCCATTGATCCATCTTATTCTCAGGTTACCTATTCTGATAATAAAATGTTATCTTGCTCAGAGAAATATACCTCAATTTACCTTTTTGTTAAATTTCACACAGCACTTCCCAGCTGTTTTGGCCTTATACAGACCCCTAAATTGACTAAGATCCCATTATATTCTCCCCTTGTCAGACTTCATCTGGAGTATCATGTTCATTTCTGGACAACATTATCTAAGAAGGACATTGATAAAGTGGAAAGTGTCTGAAGGAAAGAAACCAGGATGGTGAGGGCCTTGAGTCTATGACATATGAAGATTGGTTGAAGTAGCTAGACAGCTTTAGCATGGGGAAATGAAGACAGAAGCTGTCTTCAAGTATTTGAAAGCTTGTCATGTGGAGAAGGAATTTCTTTGTTCTGTTTGGTCCCAGAGGGTAGAACCAATTTTGGCTTTACATCAGAAAAAAACCTCCTAAGAATTTGAGGTTTCCAGAATGACCTGCTTTTAGATGTAGTGAGCTTTCCTTCCTTGAAGGTCTTTAAGCAGAAGACAGATTTCTAGTGGGGATTCTTTTTGTATGTAGGTTGGACTAGATGCCAGATGAGGTCTCTTCCCACTCATATATTTAATTCTGTGATTCTGATCTTATAATTCCTTGTTATCAAAACTTGAGTGGCAGAAGGTAAATGAGCATTCCAATTCTATGCCCCTAATCCGATTTAACCAATTACAGTGATCATAGAGCAATCAACAAGAATTTATTGTTTACTGTGTGCCAGACATTGTTCTGGTGCCAAAGCTTAGCTCTGACGATAACACTTTCCTTCTAATTGCTGCCTCAGAATCCCTAAGGAACCAAGAAATTAAGGAAATGTCCTTAATTCCCAACCAGCTGATCTAAAACATGGGTAAACAGATGGCTGTGGAAGTCCTTTTGTTTTGGGGTTTTTTTTGCCTTTTTTGGTGAGGCAATTGGGGTTAAGTGACTTGCCTAAGGTCACACAGCTAGTAAGTGTTATGTGTCTGAGGCTGCATTTGAACTCAGGTCCTCCTGACTCCAAAGCCAGAGCTGTATTCACTGTGCCACCTAGCTGCCCCTGTGGAAGTCCTTTTGAAGAGGTAGACCTGAAAATCTTCTGTCTTCTGTTTCTAGCCCTCTTGAAGATTCTCATTTGGGTAAATAAGCTTTGTGCATGGGATCTCTTTTTCCTTTCCTAATTTGAACACTGATTTATCACACACACACACACACACACACACACACACACACACACACACACACACACACCCTCACTCATTTAGAGAGACATTTGCTACTAAATGTAAGAAATAATATGGAAAAGTGAGATTGATTACTTTCCTTTCAAGCTTATCTCTTTGGACCAAAACAGCACTAATTCAGGGTTAGGACTTCTAGACATAGACTAGTGGCTTGTTTTCAAAACAACAAATCTAGTAATTTCCAGACAAGTTTATTTTAAATTAAAAAAAAAAGATAACAACTTTAAACAGATAGACAGAAACAATGATTCTCAGCACTTACAAAGGCACCCTTCTCTTTTCTTAGGTCTCTTAATGAACCTATCATACTTTAACTATAGTTTAATTATCTAGGAACTCCCATTAATGGTCAGATCTCAAAATGTAAAGATCAGATACATGCTGGGGAACAGATTAAGGGATTGAATTGGGTTCAAGGATACTAAGAAACAGCTCATATATTTTATGAAGAAATAGATAAGATTCCTTGATCCGTCGGACACTTTCCCCTCGAGCCCAGTGGTATAAGTTTAAATTAGTGATTACCAGGAAAACAACTGTGGAAAATGATTCTCCTCTTACGGGCCTCTGAACACTTACATATTAGCTGTACTTAAGCTCCAGCTTCAGATTCATAAAATGCTTAAAGTCACTGTGCCTGGCATGTACTAAGTACTATATAAATGCTTATTCTGCTCTTTTGCCTTTTCTAGTCTCTGGGTGCTAATGAAGCCCTCCTGAGTTTCTTCCATATTCTCTTCTACCCTTACTCAACTTCTGTCCAGTTTCTAGGATCACATGTACTATTTAACACCCAGAGTTATAGCTTCATGTTCCTTGACAGGCTGCCTTATATGTTGGGGGAGAAGCCAGCTACTACAATGTTCTGTCCAGTGATGAAGCTGGAATCTGGAGAACACAGGAAAGACACAATCCCCACACAGTCTTCTGGTTGTCCAGTCCTGGATGGAAGAGGAAAAGGACTGAGATCAGAAAACCAGGCTCTGATTAATCTTGTCCTCCGTGTCTGTAGTTTTAGGAAGACCCAGGATGGCCTCCATCTTTATGGTCCCTCCATCTTTATGGTCCTCCAGTTCATGGACACTGGGGGGTTCATTCTAGGCAAGGATATACAGTAAGTTCTTCCAGGACTATGTTAATCTCTCATACCCTAGAATTTTCTTTCTCCCAGCTCTATAGAAGGTGCTATATGAAGTTCCAAAACTATTTACCTCTGCATTCCAAATAGTTTCTTAGCTGGCTCTACCCAGTTTTCTTCTTCTTGGACCTGAACAAAAGCAAAATATTGAAAGATTCACTGTGTTTAGGCAGAAGGATCATTGGATATATAAAACAGGGATAACCATGCTGTATATGCTTATAGAGGATGAAACCTGCTCATGCCTAGGGAAGTGAAATGGAGTGCCACTATGCACTATTTTTCCCAAAAAAAGATTAAGCACATATACGGCTACAGAGAAAGGAGAATCTACCCAGGCTCAGAGTATAAAGACTAGAAAGGATTAAGACTGAGTGTCCCAGTCCTGAATGGGTCTCCATAGGAGTTGGCCTGGACTTGACCTGATCAGGAATTTAATCATCAGTGGAGATGTTGAGAGGATTAGAGGAGTAACCCCAGAGTCCTACCAGCACTTTGGAGAAGTCAGTGTTGATAAAACCTGGAACCAGACAGTTCACCCGGATGCCCTTCGGGGCCAGCTCCACAGCCAGTGTCTTAGTGAGGCCCAGCAAGGCAGTTTTACTGATGTTGTAGGGGCCCAATTTCTACAAGGGGAAAAAAATCATGCAAAGTTCCCTGGGACTGGAGAACAGGAAATCTTTCCAGGCTGCTTCTCTCTGTCTTAGCTCTATCACAGGTTGGGGGAATATCTTTGGACTTGGACTGCCATATTTGTTCAATGATGATAAGACCTGCCCTAGATTTCAAGGGGATGTGATAAATGCTGAATGATGTAACAGATGAAAATACACGTTCAAAAATATAAGGCAACAAATAGAGAGTTATTGTTAGAATGTAGGATTTATACCTTTTCTCACGTACTTACTGTGGCCCACCCAAGTTCAAAGAGGTCAATACTTACTGGAACTGGAATGTAGGCTGAAACTGATGATACCAAGATCACAGAACATTCCCTATAAGGAAATGAACAAATGGGATGGTTGTAACTGGGAGACCATATATTTTCAAGAAATTAGCTTTTCTAGTGATGTAGAAGCTATAGAAGCTAGTGGGAGGAGGGACTAAGGTCTGTGATAAGAGGAAGGGATTTGGTGGCATCTTATCAGTACTTCTAGGTAGAAGCTGAGTCCTTAGGGTACTGAAGTATTGGAAAGCTTCTGGTCATAGGGATGGACAGTATCCCATGGGCCCCCATGAAAGACAGTGAGGTAGAATTACAAAATCATAGAACTGATGAGTCATATTAGGTCTAACCCCATACTGAAAACATGAATGTTGTCCACAAGTTCTCTGACAAGTGGTCAGCCAGTTTCTGCTCCACTGAGAAACTTCCTCCAAAGGCAGCCCATTCTATGTCTGGACAGTTCATAAAAATGGAACAGGCTTCACTCAGTGAGTCCCTACTTCAGGGTTCAGAGGAAGAGAGACTGAGAGAGTTAGTTTAGCCTTAGGCATACTAAAGAGAGGTCATCTAATTGTTCATGTTCTGCTTTCCCTGCTCTGCTTGGCCCAGCTCCTGTGCTCAGTAACCCGCTTATTCCCCTCCTCCATTTCATACCCCCTTTTCTCCATATGAGGCAACAGTTGGCCGAGAAGCAGGGCTGGAGACTTCACATTCACATCCAGAATCTGAATTCAGAACAAGAAGGAGATGCAATGTGGTTATTTCTGATTTCCTGCTCAATTCTGTAAAATTCCCTGCAGGAAGTGGCTGGAATGTTATAGCTCCTTTCTCTGTAAGAGGTCCCCAAGAAGGAAGAATCTAGAGATATATTTAAGGGTCTAAGGAACCCTGTCCCTGCCCAAACATTGTGAATATGCAATTTAGGAAAATCTTATAGTTGTCTCTTCCACCATAACTTCTCCCTGTCCAGGTCAACCTATTCTACAACAGGGTAAGAGAAAACAAGAGTAGAAGTAATGTAGGAGAGCTAGTTTAGATAGGTCTAATTAAATGGAGGAGACCCAAGGGGCAGAACAGGGTAGTTTAAAAAGAGAAAGGACTTTGAACAGAGGAGCCCTTTATGATGATCCCTTGAAGAGGGCTCTCATTCCCTCTGAGGGAAGTTGAGTATAGCCACTCTGGGTCAGTGACAGTAATCCAGCTCAATAGTAATGGGCCGAAGCTGAGGCCCTGGCCCCCCCTTTTGGGTGGCACCATATAGATTAAAGGTTTCCCTGGTCAAAGCCACAAAAGGTAGGAGGAAACAGAATGACCATTAGGGAATGTCTCTGGGGTTCATGGCTGGTATTGGGACTGTGGGGTCTGAGAAGAGCATCTTTCTGTGAAGGCAGCTTTTCTTTGGGTAGGGCAGAGATTTCCTTGTCCCTTCCTGGAGGGTTGATTCAAGTGCCATTTCAGGAGATAGAATGCATCCCATCTGATCCATGACATCAGAGGAATCCCAAGCTGAGACAGAGGGGGTAAGATCCTACCCCGAGGTCTGGTGACTAAAGTGCTTGGCCCCTGGGTTGTGCCTGAGGAAAGTTTGTGAATGGAGATAAAGAAAACCTAAGAGAGTGGGCATCTGTTTTCTTAGCATTAGGAGAACTGTAGGTTACCAGTTCCATGAGACAATGAGGACAGTGACCTTGTGGGAACCCGGATTACATTTGAATATATTATCAGCTATAACAGATAGCACGTGACACAAGAATCATTGAATCTGACCCGAAGTCCAACTCCTACGGCCTCACCTTGTTCCACACCTGCTCACTGGCTCCCAGAGTGCTCCCTACTAAAGGATTAACTCCAGCAACGCAAACTACAAAGTCAACACCTCCATATTGTTCTACAACCTAGAGGGGAAAAAAATGAGGCAGAAAATGTGGGGTCAGAGATGATGGGGAGGTAATAAATAGCCTCTCTTTCCCTGTTTGTTTCTCTGGCTCTCTCTTCCTCTATCTCTTTCTTAACTCCTGCTGGATTGAGAGGGTGTGGTCTGACCTGCAGACTCACTCATTGTATATGAGATAATATTCCTTACAGGTGCGTAGACTTAGAGCTGGAAGTGACCCTGGGAGGCCACGAGATTCAAACCCCTGATTTTGCAGATGTGGAAACTGAGGTCCACAGAGGTTAAATGACTTGCCAAAGGTCACACTGATAGAAAGTAACAGCTGGGATTTGCATCCAGATCTTCCTGACATAAAGCCCAGTTCCTTAACCACTAGACTATTTTGCCTTTCCTTGCTCGAAGCTGGAGTAGACTTGTTGTCTCCTGTCAAATTGGAAGTTCTTGCTATAACAACAGTAACAGCAGCAACACAACTTTCACATAGTGCTTTAAGGTCTTCAAGGTTCTTTGCACAGACCATCTCATTTGTTACTCACTGATGCAAGGCCAGTCTTTTCACACTTCTCTGATTGACTTTCTAGTATACTCCTATGGTAGTTGCTTCAAACCTTCTCTACTCCAGCCACCTAGGCCTCTCCTCCTCCTTCTCTCTCATCTGGGCATCTTGCCACACACTACTCTCTCTGCCCCAGTTCCACACTTGAAACCATCACCCCCATCCTCTCCCCTTTGCTCCAGTCTTGGAGGGTGAGATGGCCTTCTCTTAGCCAATGCCAATTCTTCTACACATACAAAGGAGGGTCAGATACCCTCCTTTCTCCTCTGAGACCTTAACCTTCATTCATTACTATTTCTCCCTAATTTTCAATCTATTCTTATCCACTGACTCCTTCCCTGCTGCTTAGAAACATGTTCTATCTCTCCAACCTTAAAACAAGTTCCTGTGCCCTTCCTATCCCCTCAAGCTATCATTCTATTATCTCTTCTCCCTTTCACAGTCAAACTTAAAAAAAAAAAGCTATTTGTACTCATTGTATTCACTTTCTCACCACCCACTCACTTCTTAGCCCTTTCCTTCTGGCTTCTGTTCACTGTACTCAAGTGAAACTGTTTTTTTAAGGTTACCAATAATCTCTCTATTGGTAAATCCAATGGCCTACTCTTTTCTCTATATACTCTCTCTTTTTTGGGTTGTTGTGACACTGCTTTATTGTGGTTCTCTCCCTACCTGTCTGACTACTCCTTAGTTTGCTTTGTTGATTATCATCCATATCTTGCCCCCTATGTGTGATATACCCCAGTGTTCTTTCTTGGGCACTCTTCTCTAACTCTTTCAGTGATTCCATCAGCTCACATGGACTCAACTAATTGTCTTTATGCAACCAACTTCCAAACTGAAATAGCTAGCCTCCATCTCTTTGCTCAGATCCAGTTCCACACCTCCAATTGCCTGATGTATCACTTGGATGTACCACGGATACCTCAAACTCCACATGTCTGAAACAGAACCCTAAATCCATATTGCCTCCTAACTTCCATCCTTCTATTGAGGGAGCCACTATTCCTCCATTCACCCATATTTGCAACCTTCCACTCTCTCTCACCCCTGATACATAATCTAGTTGCCAGGTCTTAGAGATGCTTCCTCCACAACATCTTTATCCCCTTCTCACTACTCATACCACAACTAATCTAGGACAGGCCTCCTTGTTGTTCTTCCTGAATCCAACCTCTCTCCTTTGCATAGGCCAAATTGACCATCCTAAAGCATAAGTCTGACCATACTATGTCCCCAGCTCAAGAAGCTTCTGTGGCTCCTGAGTATTCCTGGGAGAAAATACAACTTTCCTTTTGCCATTTCAGTTCCTTGACAGTCTAACACCAGGCTATCTTTTCAGGCTGACTCTTCACTACTCCCTCTCATGTACTCTTATATTCTAGCCACACTGGCCTTCTTGATGTCCCCCCATACACAACACTTCATCTCTCACTGCTTGCTTTCCATAGGCTGTCTCCTAGCCCTAGAATGCTTTTTCTCTTCACAACCACCTGTTGAATCCTTCAAGACTCAAATCAAGCATTACCTCCTTCAAGAGACCTTTCCCAATTCCCCCAAATCTTAGGCCCCATATACATATTTAGATTATTTTATATATATACATATCTTTCATTTACTTATCTGTGAACATACTGTACCTACCCCCCATCCAGTAGAAATTAAATCCCTGGAGATCAGGGACTGTCTTGCTTTCAGCCAATAGAGTTTCTGGCATGTAGTGGGCACTTAATAAATGCTTATTGATTCATTGATCCTCACAACGATTCTAAGAGGTAAGTGCTACAGATGAGGAAACCAAGTCTCAGAGCAATCGTCATTTGCCCATAGCTAGTAACTGTTAGAGGAGGGATTTGAACCATACCTCTCTGGAGTCCAAGTCTAATACTCTATGGTGTCATACTGCCTTGTCCCTGTTAAATGCTGTCCCAGAACCATTCCTCACAGGGTTGTATTCTTTGTAAACCTTAAAAGGCTAAACAAATGCATTCTTATTATTATGACATAATTTAAATTGTCATCCCAGAACCCCAATTTTGGACTTAGATAGACTGGGTTCAAGTCTTGGTGAATCTTCCCACTAATTACTCTTTGTTAGGTGTCAAGATATTAGGAGACACCATGTTTTCCAGAGCTAAGGCCCAGCAAGCAAACTGTGCCTTTAAGTTGGCATAACAACAATCATTTTGGTTCAGCCTTTGGATGATCTCACACTCTGGCAAAATCACATAATTATTGTATGGCTTTGGCCAGCACCAGGTGCTCCATAAGCATCTGCTGTATTCATGTTCCAAAAGTCATGAAGCCCTGCTATGAATCAAACTGGTGTCATTGTTGCTGTAACCTGTCATCGTCAGGGTTACAGCTTTCTGTGAAGCCATTGGTATAAGTATTAAGATCTTCCCACACTGCCTCGGGTCCCCAACTAGGATTGGGGCCCTAGCATATGTGTCTATATGATCCCCTCCTTGCTTGCAAGCTGTTTCCCTCACTTTGAAATTAACTTATGTTTGATTCCTGACTCTCCTGTCTCTAGCGCTCCAGCCATCCACAGGTTAGAGGCTGATTTGGTCTGATTGACACTTCTATCCAGGGTTTTCCCTGGGAACCTCAGAATATAATTCATTTCTTATTCTCTGTAGTTATGTGTAAAAGGGCTCTCAGTTCCCATCTAAGCACTCTAGCTAATAATATATATTGGATTCAGGACAACCTATATTTCATCCCGTAGAAGTGATGAAAAAAACACGAAGGACTGATAAGAGCCCATGTACAGTCAACATATGAGCTCTTCCCTCTCAGATGAATTCCACCTTCCACTCAGGACTCCTACAATTTTCCAGGCTCAGGGTGCCACCTTGTGGTAGATACTTCCTGGAAAGGGAGACATACTTGTGGCCAATAGATATGCCTCTCAAGTTTCCACCAGAGACCTACACAGTCTTCTAGACTGATAGCACTATCCTAAGGTTGGGATTCCCCAATTTTGGAATTTTGCACTTGGAGTGGCTAGAGTATCACTCCTCTTTCCGTCAAGACAGCACCATCTGTATAACTCAAGGTGGTAGTAGGTAGTAAGGTCCAGATTTGCTGCTCCACATCATAGTTTAGTCTCTTGCTGTTGCTCCAACACTGGGCCATGTGTTGCTCCTCTTCTTTGTAGGAAACTTGGTTTATCAATTTGAGAAGAATTATTCCTCTTCTCCCCAACACACTGGGTCTAGGAGTTTGACATTGTCTAGGAAATCTCCCTCTTTTTTCTAGGAGGAAGTGGGAGAGTCAAAAAATAAATGCTTCTTATGTGAAAAAAAAATTGTCATTACTCAAAGAATCACTCTCCATGTGTCAATGGATCAACAGTTACCCAGGTCAAGTATATTCCCCACACTTTACGAGGGAAATTAATTATCTCAGTAGGGATATCCATAGAGAGATGTCTTTGAGGCCAGAATATATCCAGAACAAAGGTCTCATCCTTCAATCTTCTTAGGCTGAACAGGCTATCATTTCATACCCCGTTAAGGAGATATTAAAAAAAAAATTGTTGCGCACAGAGGTGCCTTCCAAGCCTGACCTTTTTACCTTGTTAAGTTGACCAGTCTGCTTCTAGTCACAGCTTCTACATTATTATTCTTCAAAATTTCAAGGATCCTTGTAGGCCCTCCTGCCTATAAAGATTGGAACATCTCTTTGGCTTGGTTGGTTGATTTTGAGAGTCACTATGACCTTTCTGTGAAGATCCTTTTTAACTTAGTTAGGATGGTCCTCAGTCAAAAGATATAGAGTCTTTCCCCAGACCCACACTGGAAGCTCTGCTCTACTGATATATCCTTCCATAACACAGGGTTACCCATGCATCACAAGGAGGCATCGGAAGAGGCCTTATTATCATTATTACATCATTTAATTATTCCTGCAGCAGGGCAGGTTAAGAGTACTGGGTGACACATTTCTTTTTCTCTTGATAATGAGATGATATTGCCATGAAGACACATTCTAGGACAAATATAGCTAGAACTTGAGCCTGATCATGCAATTGTAACCTAGAATGCAACTTCTAGGGCCTTCTGGTCACCTTAATTTTAATAATATAATTTCTCTTTTTTCTCTTCTTCCAGTCACAGCCTTTATTCCAATCATTCATTTTTGCCTTTCTTTCCTTTCAACAAACATTAGTTAAATGGCTACTAGTTCAACCTCCAGGTAAATCTGTATTTGACTGTGGTATGATGATAACCCTAGGTTCTCCAAGCCTGTGCCAACAGAGCCCAAACTCTGGTAGACTTCTAAGTAGAAATGACTTAGAATTGGGCCCCCACAAAGGAATGTATGTCTGTTATCCAAGGGCCAGCCCAGCTAAGTTCAGATAGGTTCATCATTTGGTTGGGCACAAGGTAATAAATCTTTTGGCCACAGAAACTCTCAAAGTCCATTTAGCAAGTCATGGAAGCGTTGTGATCTGTGCTGGTGAAGGGAAGTACTCACACCAACAAACCACAGCTCTTTGAAGTATCTAAGCAAGCACTCATTATGATCAAGACTATCCATTGTATCTAAGACAATATTCCATCCTCTAATCATTTGTCATCATGCTGCACTCCAGACTTCCTCTCCCATGCCCCAGCTTTATATCCAGAAATCGCACTCTGGCAATAGAATATTCACACATCGGAAGTACCCACCATTACTCCTGTGGCCTCTCTCTCTGATTGGATAGCTCCTCCCAGAGCTTCTATTTAAGGAGGATACCCATGCCAGTCATGTCTTACTCCTCTCCAGGTGGCACTCTGGACTTCCTCTACTATCCCTCAAAGCTGGCTACCTTCATTCCAGATCTCAACCTCCCCACCCTGCCTTCAGCCCCCTTTTGTATATTGCCTTCCTCCATCGAATATAAGCCCCTTGAGAGCAGGAACTGTCTTTCTTTCAAGTTGTATTTATATTCCCAGTTCTTAACAGTACCTGGCACATAGCAAGTGCTTAATAAAGGTTTGTTGATTGATGAATTTTTCCTATATACTTAGAGTCCTTTCTCTGGGGGCATTTACCTGTTCACTATATTCTTCTCCTCTATGTTGCTTTAAAACACTGACATTCTCTTTTAAGAAGATTAGCCATTAACAGAACCCAGACTGGAGGTAGGTGATGAAAGTACTCACCTAGGGTACAGAAACGTGTGTTTATGTTGGGGAGGGGAGAAGGGAGGGAGATAAAATATTTCCACATTACTCTAAACATTTTTATTTGAACCTTTTATTTTTACACCACAGTCATTCTCTCCATTCCTCCACCACTGAATCATCCCTTTAAAAAAAAACCTAAAAGTTGTTGTTTAGGAGTTTTCAGTCATGCCTGACTCTTCATGACCATATTTGGGATTTCCTTGGCAAAGATACTGGAGTGGTTTGCCATTTCCTTCTCTAGCTCATTTTACAGATGAGGAACTGAGGTAGATGCAGGTAATAGACTTGCCAAAGGTCACACAGCTAGTAAGTGTGAGGCCAGATGAGTCTTCCTGACTCCAGGCCTGGCATTCTATCCACTGCACCACACAGCTAAAAGTAATAGTAATTATATTTCATAGGGTGTAACAGATGCCACATCTGTAGTTCCCTGTCTACTGAAAGGAGGGAGTGACTGAGATTAGTATTACCTTTGACATGCTTCAATATTTTGATAAATACATGTTATCTTTAGGGTGGATCTTCCCTCCAGTGGTGCATATTGCAACCCAACCACACCTTCTCTTCCTAAATCAAGTTTCATCTGGATCTTGTAATATTTTGCAAATACTAGTAAAACAATCAGGCTGACCATTTGCCATTCCTCACTCTCACTCTATGAGCAAGACCACCTTATTTTCCATTTACATATCTCTGATGAGATTTTCTTATGGTTCTTAACACATAATTAGTAATAAGATATAACTACCTCCCACACATCCTTGTGTTACTCACTATTTTGATTTTTCTGAGATTGTGGTATTCCATGACTTGTAGTCATCTAACATCACCAGAATGTTGATGTTAAAATATTGTTTTTTAAAAAATGAATATATTTTGAATGACAGAAAATTCTGCTCTTCAAGGCACATAGGTCCTTATTTTTTGATAGTCAAGGTGCATGTATTATGCTTTTAACACATGAGGCACCATCTCTTACACTTGGGCCCCCCAGAAAAGCAATCTCAGTTAAAGGTACTCAGTGGGTCATCACTCACTCAAAACCATAATTCATGAGGCCCTCATTGTATGTTTGCTTTTACCATCCAGCCACAGGGCACATTAACTCAAAGCAAAAGACATTTAATCAAATAAAGTGACCATTTAAACAACAAGAAAAGATTCCTCCCATGCACTACCGTTCCCAAATATTACCAAGCCATCAGAGGGGAAGTGGACATATGTTAAGAAAATATGTTACCAAGAAGAACACATGGATGGTACATGTAGGGAATACATGTGGCCTGGGCACATATATGAAGGGGCAATCATAAAGGACCTGCATGGCCAGGACTTACATAAAGAGGGTATGCTCCCAGAACAACTCACAACTTGGATCCTTTAGGGCTGTTGATGTCCTCTGGTGATGTTACCATGCTGCTGTCTGCTGAGAATCACGTCTGCTGCTCTGCTGGGTTGCTGGTGCATGACTTCACTGGTCCTGTAATGCCTTCTGGGTAGCTCTACTGCTCTCATGGTCACCAAACTACTATTCTCTGTTATCAGATTTTATGCTTTGGCTCTTCAGGGTCATCAAATGACCATTTTGGTTCCCAAATGATAAATGAGGTAACTAGGAAGCCTCTCCTTGACAAAGGCACATTGACAGATCTTTAATCCCTATCAGAGACTATGAGCCATGACATCCAGCTAAGGACAGTTAACCAAATGCCAAACTAGAATGCCCCTAGGCAAAGGTTAGGTCTACTCTGCTGATATGAAATCTATTGTCCAGATAATTATCTTGACAGGATTAGAAATTCTGTGTAGTTTACCTGTAATGCCTTATTTCGTGCTCCCAAAACCCATTTGGGGAGTGAGGGTGTGGGGGTCTGACAAAGAAACCCCCACAGTAGTTATGTGGACGCTGAGGCTACAAAGTTCATTTTGCTCTCATGATCCCTTCCAGATTGGCATGCAAATGAAGCTAAACAAAATTAAAAGCTAAATGAAGAAGGTAAAGTCATCACTCTCTACTCTCCAGAATTGGTTCCTGCCTTTATTATGCATATCTTCTAACAATTTTTTTTTTAAAAAAAGACCTTTTTTTCTATGTTCAATCCATTACAACACTTGACTCTCTCCCTATACACTGATGGAGTAAACTGGCTAAGGGACACAGGCAAAATTTCAAACCGTAAGGGTAAAGAGGAACTAGAATTCCCAAACCCTATCTAGGGGTGAGCCAATTCCTTGCTTTGGCTCTGCCAATCAGAATGTCATATTCCAGATAATGTGTAATTGAGTCCCCAAATCAAATCAATAAACGTTTATTAAGCACCTAGTATCCCCAACCCAGAGTTTCCCTAAGGCCTGAGTCATCAAGATTATCTTCTCTTCAAAGGATCACCTGGGATAGTCCACCCATTTAGGGCAGACCACAAGAGCCCCATGGGTGAGGATTCAGTTGTAGGCCCTCTAAGTCTTAGGCTGGGTAATTAGGAAATGGTCTGGTTTTTCTCTACAACATTTACCAGCATCTTTGATCACTCACCATAGTCACTAGCCTATCTCGGTCCTCTGCTTTCCCTGCATGGCACACCATGCCGCTCACACTCAGTCCTTCTTCCTTCAGTTTCGCCATGGCCCAATCAACTTTCTGCTGCTTGCGACTGCTCACCACCACGTGGGCCCCATCCCGGGCCAACCGTTGTGCAATAGCAAAGCCAATGCTATAAAAGAAAGGGAGACAGAAAGATACACTTGATATTCTCATTCCTTGGCCCCGCTGCCCTCTACCTCACTCCCCTAGTGGCCTCCTCTTTAGTGGAAAATCACAATCCTCAGCCTCTTTTAACTCTAAGGAGCTGACCCTACACTCTCTGATGGATCGGTTACACTCCTGAGAGTATAGACCCAATATCCCTGTTGCACTTTTCAATTAGGAATTTATCTTCACTTACCCCTGGGTGGAACCGGTGATCAAAGCCACTTTATCAGTCAAAATGCCTTTCTTGTCTACTCCAGTGCTGCTCATCCTTACTGAGAGAGGGACCCTGAGAGGAAACAAGGCTTTGCAGGCAAATGCCAGTGTCTGGAACATGTCAATCAGCATCTGATCTTCTTTCCAGTAGTCTCAGATTCAGGGAGAAGCTTGAGAGAAATGATCAACATCATTCATCATGTAAGAACCTCTGACTCGGTACATCATGGAGACTTTCTCTGACCTCTCTCTCCATCTTGGCCCAGGAACAGAAAAGAGAGTATCCTAACTTTGTTTTGTTTTGCTTGTCTATCTTTGTATTCCCAGAACTTAGCACAGAATCAGCAGCGTCATGGTAGGTGCTTAATAAACGCTTTGTAGACTGTCTGACCTGAGCTAGAGATGTCTTACTGTCATTGAGATTTAGTAGCACCGGAATTCTAGTTTTGCTGTCAAGGGGTATGCAGTCAGAGTCCTGCCACAGTTCTGCCATAGACTAAGCTTCTGTGACCTGCTGCCCAAAGGTTATGCTCTTTGTCAAAGTTTATAAGAAATGTCCTCACTTTGAGAAACCCAACTAATTTGTTCCTTGATAGAAGAGGCAGAAGAGAAAATGAGGAGCACCAGTGCCCTTCCAGCTTTAATAGTCCCTCCCACAAAGACTAGGTTATTGTTATCATCAAGAGAGGGAATAAAATCTTAGGAAGAGATAGTTTAGCTGTTTTAGAGAGAGTTAACTGCCATAGCTGAGAGAGACATAGAGAGAAAGTGCTGAGAGAACTTCTTTCCTGAGAGAGTGAGTGATTTAACTGTCATGGCATAAAAGTCTAAAGAGATATTTAGAGAAAACTGAGTGGAGAAGATAACCTGAAAAGAATTTTTGAGGGACTTGGGCATCCAAAAACAGCTAAATTCCTGTTGGATTATGTATGGTCTGTGAAGAAGTCAGCTGCTATAGTTGGTTAGAGATGGCTCTGGCTGTAATCTTTCTCATGGCTGATATGTTATTGAAATATTTAAATGTCTTTTTATTGCCTGATATACTGTTAATAAATTGTACAGACAGTAATATTAATGTTTATCTAAGCCTATGAAACTAGGGAGTTTAGTGAGGGGAGGTGGAAGGAAGAGAAGAATTTATTGGGAAAAGAGGTTTATTCATAAACTGGGATGGGTGCTCAGAGCTGAGTGATTAATGAGTGAGAGAGACTGTGTATTTCTATTCATTTGTGAATAAATGTAAGAACATGCCCCTTGATTGCTTTGGGACACGTTTTGAGAATTACTAAGGAGATGAGCCAGCAGCAGGTAGAGAGAGCTGAGGATGATATGTATCAACTAGTATAATGCCTAGGAGGCAGCTAGGTGGTGCAGTAGACAGAGTGCTGGGCCCAGAGTCAGAAAGACTCATTTATGTGAGTTCAAATCTGGCTTCACTTACTAGTTGTGTGACTCTGAGTAAGTCACTTGACTCTGTTTGCCTCAGTCTCCTCATCTGTAAAATGAGCTGAAGAAAGAAATGGCAAACCACTTCAGCATCTTTGCCAAGAAAATTCCAAATGGGGTCATGAAGAGTTGGACACGACTAAAAAATGACTGAACAAACCAATAGTGTATAGCAAACTAGACCCCCTTTAATATGTATATGAGTGGGGTGAGGGGGGGTTGTGCTTAATCCTGTTACATTTGTATTTGCACTGGTCTGAATAGATAATTGGACAAATATCTCTGTGGCCACTTTTTATCGAAATTCTCCCTTTTCAGCAAGATATCTTCTGCCTTCCCCACTGGGGTTTATTTCCTTCAGTTTTTTCTCTTTGTACCTTGTTTCAGCTGCCCCTTGATCTATTTTCTTCTTCTCTCTGAAATAGGCTCAATTTTTGTCTCCTAAAAGTCTCTCCATAAAGCCATTCCAACTTTACTATCTTCCCATCCCCAAAATCAAAACATTGTCTTTTTGTTGTGTTTTTAAAAATTGAATTCTATGGTTTATTGATCTCCTTTGTGCTGTCCATAAGTAGACTGTAAATGTTTCTTTTATCAAATATTTAGAGAACTGATCCAAATTTGTAAAATAAATAAATCGTTCCCAGTTGATAAATGGGCAAAGGACATCAACAGGCAGTTTTCAGAAGAAGAAACCAAAGCTATCAATAATCAAATGAAAAAAAAATACTCTAAATCATTACTGATTAGAGAAATGCAAATTAAAACAAATCTGAGTTACCACCTTGCACTTAATCAGATTGTCTAATATGACCGAAAAGGAAAATGACAAATTTTGGAAAGGATATGGAAAAATTGAGATACTAATGCACTGTTGGTGGAGTTGTGAAGTGATCCAGACATTCTGGATAATAATTTGGACCTACACCCAAAAGACTATAAAATTATGTCTACCTTTTGACCCAGCAATACTGCTATATCTCTATATCTATATCTCTATATCTCTATATCTATCTATATCTATATCTCCAAGAGATTTAAAAAAAAAAACGAAAAGGACCTATATGTACAAAGGTATTTATAACAACTCTTTTTGTGTGGACAAGGAATAAGAAATTGCAGGGATGCAATTATTGTGGCAATGCCCACAATGATGGAAAGACCAATAATAACAAAAATTAAACTGAATGCTACAAAAATATAATGACCCAGCTTGACCCCAAAGAAGAAATATGAGAAGGCACCTCCCACTGATGAACTTGGACAGACTTTGAAAGGTAGCGTAGAACAGAAGGACCTGGCGTGCTATGGTCCACAGGGTCATGGAAAGTCAGACACAATTGGACAACTGTACAGCAACAACCTCCCACTGCTACTTTGTGGAGGGATGAGTGTGTAGAACATTATGTACAATGTTAAACTTTGTTCATACTTTGGTTAGTTTTATTGAACTTCATTTTTATTCTTTATTATAAAGGACGGCTCTTTGAGGGTGGGAGAAATATCCACTGGGAAATGCAGGTGATCAAAAAATAAAAATTATCAGTAAAATGTATTTTTAAAATATGTTTAAGGACAATGAAGATGCTGGATTTCAAGAGGAGTTAATGCCATGAGAAAATGAATGAATGATATCTTATGGGGAAACTACATAGTGCAGTGGTTAAAACATTGGGCAGGATGACCTGAATTCAAATTTGGCCTCAGACTCTTAAAAGCTGCATGTTCTTAGGCAAGTCACTTAACCTCTGTTTGCCTCAGTTTCCTCAACTGCAAGGTGGGGATCATAATAGCACCTACCTCATGGGGTTGTTGTGAGAATCAGATGAGATTTTTTTTTAAGGCACTTAGCACAATTCCTGGCACATATTATAGGCTATTTAAATGCTAGCTATACTGATGATGTCAGGAAAAAGCATATGCAGGAAAAGGAAAATGCTACACCAGGCAAGCTGGGCCTTTTGAGATCATGATAACAATTAGGGATATTCTTACAGTATCCTCAGAAAAGCTAAAATCCTAATATTTTCATTGAAGATTGTACATGTTTTACTCACATGGAATTTACAGAGAAACAGTAACTTAACATGGCTTAGGATGAAGACCTATCCTGATGCCTATTATCCATGTGACCCTGGGAAAGTCATTTAAGCTCTTTGCACTCAACCCCCTAGGTTTCATCTACTAAGTTCTAACTGGCTCAAACATGGTGATTTGCATTGCTAAAGGAAGTTTCCATACTGGGAGCCCCTTATGCAGATGAAATCACAGATCCTTCTCAGTCTCCACATATTTGGATATACAATTAAAAAAGAACTACTAACTAACACACAGTATTCTTCTTATGGAATCATGAACAAATAAAGGTTCAGCTTAAGACATTATAGTGTCAATTTATACATGTGGCAGAAAAACTAGAATGAGGGGCTCTGTTTCAAATGTACTTAACTCGTGGCTGGCACAAAGCCCAGAAATTCCTTACTGTGCTCAACTGACTGAGTGCACAGGTTTTCAGTCCATTGCAGAATCACGACAAATGAATCTCGTGGTCATTTAAACCTCGTTCCCCAGGCACGTAGCCCTATAGAAGATCATAAATGCATCCTCCAAAGCCAATTTGCTATGTTTTAGAAGAGTGTAATTGATAGGTAATGTGAAGTCTAATTTCTACCCATATTTTGTCCAGATCTATTATGTCCAGATATTATTATTTCTATACAGTGATGTAGGAAAATGGAGGAAACTCCCAAGAGCATAGGTCACGTAGTACCCCCATGCCACACCCAAACAGGAACAGATCCCTGTGCAGATCCCAAATACTGGGTTAGAAAACTACAAATGAACATTTTCTATGTTGTATTGTGTTCTTTTTTCTTTTGTTGAACATTTTTCAATTATATTTTGATTTGGTTCAGGTCCCACATAGGAATTTTGCAGGCCATGTGGGGAGAGGAGCTTGCCCCAAATTTGACATTCTGATCTAGTCTAACTCCCTCATTTTACAAACGGAGAAACTGAGGTTCGGGGAAGTTAAATGGCTTATCAAAGGTCACACTGTAAAAACACACTCTGTAAAAAGAGTCAGTATCAGAATTCATGTCCCTTATTCCAAATCCAACACACCTTCCATTGCATAATGACTGAACATTTTGACCACACATAGAGGTAACAGGTGCAAAATGCATGCCAGACATGGCCAAGATGATAATTTGTTTTGCTTAATTATTTTTCTTTCTTGGAAGGGAGGATTTTATGGGTAGGAAGAAGAGAGAGACATTGGGAAATGATAGTAATGTTAAAAAAAAAAAGCACTACAGCATAGACATTTTTAAAAGAGCACTGAAACAATCCTCAAAAAAAAAAGCAAGCATTTATTAAGTATCTACTCTGTGCCAGGCACTGTGCTAAGTAGTTTACAAATACTATCTCATTTGATCCTCAAAACAACCCTGAGAGGTAAGTACTATTACTATCATTACCATTTTATAATTAGGGAAACTGAGGCACACGGCTTGAAAGTATGAAATGCACAGTTAAATGTTCCTTTTGATGTTAAATAGACTAACATTCAGCACATGCCTACTGTTTTTGAAGCTATTCTTTGGAATTGTTATTATGTCTAGCAGCATCTCACACATAGTAAGTGCTTAACACATGATTTTTGAATTGAATTT